GGGGTTTTCTTCATAGGTGTTTGTTAAACTTCTAATTACGCAACTTTTGTCCCATTTAACCGAATTCCTATCTCTCTTAGTTTCTGAGATGCCAATGTTGAGCATCGAAATTGTCACCACATACTCTATAATCATATTACTATGGTTACGGCTTTACTTTATGATTGCAAAACTAAAAGTGATGTAAATACAGAAAAAAATCCGGTGGCTCTCAATTTAAAAAAAATCATTTTTTTTTAATTCTCAAACTTGAATAACTCGGTTATTAAGAATTTATTTAAAAATCGGCAAAGAAAAAAATATGTTTCTTTTATCGAGATGTACCAGTCCTAAAAATATTTGCACTTATTTAAGACTCATCCTGTATATTGATAAAAGTTTTTACACCCATCTTGAAAACCTTTTAAATTAAAATTAAATAATAAACTAAGTTACTGTCGGGCTATATCATATTATGTGAAATTTCTTCTCACCTGTATTTGAATTCATTATATTTCCAGTGTAACACATATACCTGCTCCGTAAAATATTTTAATTTTAATTATGAATAAACATTTTGTTTTTACTTATAAAAACGTTTTTGTATTAGAAGTCACGTATGTTTTTAGCAATTTTAATTATACAAATTCACGGCAAGCTGAAAAATGTTCTTTTTCTGTAAAAATGCAAATAATCTAAATGCATATCATGTTTTTAGGAGAACATAGCTTATATCTTTTAAGTGACTTACTTCTTTTATAAAAAAATGTTTAATATATTCGGATTAAATGGTATACATATACATATGTATATGTATACCATATATAGGTATGTTAGTTATACGTACTTCTAAAATAAAACAATTTTCATAAAACACATTTAGAAATTATCAAACAATTAGAAAGGCAAAGTCTATTAAATAAAATAAGTATACAGGGTGTCCCAAGCCGAGCGTGCATTAGAAGTTTCTAAAGAACTACATCATCTAGCTCGGAGATTTTTTGCACATCATAGTGTCACAACGAGATCTATTGACTAAAAATATTTTCAATATGGCGACACTTCCAGAAACACCGGAAGCTGACAGCAACTTTCTTATTTTAAATGGGTGCCCCCATTTTTTATTATATACTTAAATTCTCTGTAAAATTTTATGAATTATGATATTAAACACTCTATAGCTAACATTGACCGTTTTTGAGAAAAGAAATATTTAAAATTTTTGAACGAAAAAAATGCCTGTCAAAAACATGTGTATAGCTTAAACGTCAAATTTAGTGATTGCCACAGCCACTGTGCCATAGAAACAAAACATGTGGCTATCTATTTCAACAATGAAATTGTTCGAATGTCACATAATAATGGCCGCAGCTGTTATAGAATTGAGCGATTAAAAATTATCATAAATAATTTTTTTTCAAATGGAAACCCACATTTTTATTTCACTAGTAAAAAGTCTTTTCAATTCGTTTCTTTTTGACTATACATATTCCTATACCTAAAATAAATCGTTTTTAAGTTATTTAAGATTTAGTTTTAAAGCGTATATTTTTCTTGATTTTAACCAGTAGCCTATGACGTTAAACGTCAAGTGATGTTAAACAATTAATAGATCTGACGCTTTGTTCAAAAAGCAGCATCATTTCCGAGCCAACTTTGCACTGTTTTTTTTTCATACGGAATATTATTAATATCAATGATTAGATATCACTAAAGAGCGAAAATAGGAGATATATATTTATAAATACACTTTTTAAACTCTTAAGGCCAGGCAGTATTTATAATATAAGAAATTCAAAAATTCGTTTTCTGAGTGAGGGAAATAAATTGTCTGACCGTTTGACACTTAATGTCAAAGGAAGCAAGATAAAATGAAGAAAAATATACGTTTTCAAATTAAATCTTAAATAACTTAAAAACCTTTTAATTATTGAAAAATTGAAAAACCTTTTAATTAGTGAAATAAAAAAAGTTGGTTTCCATTTGAAAAAAATGATTTATGATATTTTTTTAATCGCTCAATTCCATGACACCTACCGCCATTATTATATGACATTTGAACAATTTAATTTTTGAAATAGATAGCCACATGTCTGCTCTTTATGTCACAGTGGTTGTGGTAATAACTAAATTTGACTTTTAGGCTGTACACATTTTTTTGACAGGTAGCTTTTTTCGTCCAAAAATTTTAAATATTTTTTTTTCTCAAAAACGGTTAATGTTAGATATAGAATGTTTATAGTCAATATTCATGGAATTTTAAAGATAATTTAAGTATGTAATAAAAAATGGGGACACCCATTTAAAATAAGAAAGTTGCTGTCAACTTCCGGTATTTTCGGAAGTGCCGCCATATTGAAAATATTTTTAATCGATAGATCTCGTTCCAAAACAAGGATGTGCAAAAAATCTCAAATCTAGACATTGTGGTTCTCTAGAAACTTCTAATGCGCGCTCAGCCTGGGACACCCTGTATATAAAAATTAAAATAACTTAATTTTATGCCCTGTTTTGTACATAACACAACTTGTAACAAAACTTACCTTTTTCATAAAATTCTGTTATTTTTAATGTATACAGTGTAATCCACTGTCCTTAACTTATACATATACAAATACTTTAAGTATGGTAGCAATATTTCATAAACGAAATATTGGGAATCTATATACAGACCGGACCACCGTAGTAGTAACATAGGCAGAACTGGACGAATTAGCGTATACCCGTCCGTATAAAAAGCAGGCGAAAAAATGCGTTAAAATAAAAATAGGTAGATATGTGATAAGAATGTTCCAGAATTCGTATTTATTTGTGTTTTAATAGCCAAAACGAATACATAGATTCTCGTGACAGTTCTCGTGTAAAATTATCGTGATACTATATCAAGAGTTATTAATAATTTTAAAACACATCGGTGCATGTCCCCACAAAAACACAAAAAGCTTGATGTGTTGATTAATGAAGAACAGGAGTTAAAGCAAGTGTTCATTTGTGCTACCGCGGATCAAAATCCCACGTTTTCAAGTAATCAAATTGCTGAGGTGGTTGCCCTGCCCACAATGCCCGTATTGTTCAAGAATATTTGAACAATACTTTTCCCAACCGTTTAATTAGTGGACATGGAACTATTTTGTGGCCCGCTAGATCACCAGATTTTTCTCCCAATGATTTCTTTTTGTGGGGTTATGTAAAATCCAAAGTGTATGGTCATAATAGGGCTAATAATCTGGATGAGCTTCAAGTAAAAATACAAGAGGCTTTCCAAACTATTAGCCCTAATATGTTAGCCAATGCCAGACGGGGATTGTACGATCGCCTAGGCTTCTGTCTAGCACAAGAAGATGGTCTTTTTGAACACTTGTTTTAACTTCTTTTTATTTAGAGTAATATTTTAGTTTTTTTGGGGTTTAGAGAATTTATTTATTTATACTTTTGGCTTGTAAACACACTCAAATAATAAATGTTTAAGTACTTTTATTTTAAATGTTACCTTAAGTGAAGGTAAACACTTAAAATGAAAATAATAAATACTCGGCACTTCTCGCGTCGTATTCCTATTCACAACTGCAACTGCGTACTGCTTGACCAGCCGACTAGCCGGCAGTGAATCTCGAGTACGAACGCAAATCGGGTAAACGTAAATTCGTCCGGCAACTTGCTATGTTACTAGTAACCTGGTCTTCTCTGTATATTTAAGTGAATACTATCAACTTATTCAGCTTATTATTTAAAGTGTGATAACCGTTGATGGAAGTAATAAGAAGATGCGCAACCATAAGATTTCGTGGCACAAAACCTGGCCGAGATGTATCTGGCGATACCGTCGGCGTCGCCGCTAGTCAACCTGTTCGAGATTTAGTTTAGCTCTGAGCCGCTGCACGCTGATACTCGTTTACAGCGGATAAAAAAAGTTCCGCTTTCAATCGACAGAGTGGGTAGTTGCCGGAGACAGTGTTGCCAGAACTATGGATTAATCCGTAGATTTACAGATTTTAGGTACGGTACGTTAATAATTCGGATTTTTTTTTATCATTAAACAATTTAATATCATACTATATGATTAAACAAACGGCGTAAGAGTTGGCTTGGAAATGAATAATCGCTGTTATTTCATTATGTAAAATATTATGGCAAATGTCAATAGCCTTCATTTTCAAGCCAACAAAACGGCTTTTTTCGATCATAGGAAATATTCAGTAGGTACCTATAAAATAATTTTTATTTTTGTTGTTTATTCTATGTTTAACACGAATAAATTTTCAATACATAAACGCGAATATTTCATCCAAAAATATCTTCGTCAAACATTACAGATATTATACAATTTAATATGGCAACACTGTCGGTTTCAGTTTCATACCGTCTTCGATATGCCTTCGCTAGCCCAATTAGAGAATAGAGTGTTTTATGCGTTGGTCGCAGGGGAATGAGTAGAGGTCCACCGTACAACAATTAAGACGCAAGGGGATATCAAATTAACCTTGTCACGAATTTATCCATTAGGTTGGGTATCTTCCCAATTCTTTCAATCAACTTAATAACGATTTTCAAGTCAGTATGTGATGATTAGATTCAGTTTGTCGTTTCAATATGACTAATGACACCTAAGGTTATAACAAACAACTAAGCTTGTTATTTTGTTTTTAAATTTTGAATATAAAGCCAAAAAACATTTTTGTTAACACTATAAACCACACACACAATTATACAAATCAACAGAGCCTTACGTAATATCAATCAAGAAAAGTAAATTTTAGCAAAATTCAATGTCTTAAATTAAAATTTTGACAGACGAAAGACCCTGCTGATAATGGTACGTAACAAAACACTATCTACAATTTACGCAGTGTTGTGTGAGCTACCTATACGCTACCGAAAGCAAAAAATTATCACAAGTTATCAGGTCAGTTTCTAGCATAAGAATTGACCCTTCGAAAAAGCTCTATCTAAATTTAAAAAATGAAAAAAAATTAAACGGAAAACAAAACTCAATCGGGTACTTAATTTATCGATGCACTGACCAGGAGGTTGTCCTAAAAGAAACAAACCAAAAATATTAATTTTGAAGGTGTATTCCTAAATATTATAAAAATAATAGAATATTTTATTAAATAATTGACTTTCAGTTTCTTTATGTAACTTTTCATTTATTTTTTGTCACTCTTTATTCGGTTTTTTTGGACTATAATTTTTGTGAATTTAAGAATGAGAGTAATTAAAAAAAAATAATAAATTAATACAAGTATTTTATAAACAACTGCTGCCAGATAAAACCTGGACCTATAATAAGATAATGACTACATATAATTATTGGGTAAATGTATATAAATTTTATCGTAAGATAAAATATACAGGGTCCCGCAATAATGCGTCGGCCATCTGTAACTCCTAGAATAAAAACCTTGGGAATCTTGTTGAAGTGCAAACTTGAAGTGTGTACTAGGATATGTACTTCAGGAAAATATTTTAACATCTACAGGATGGCTTAAAAAAGTATGAGTGGATAGGGATGGTCTTTTAAAAATGGAACATCGTGTACATTATTGCCATTTTGCTTCCTTTTAGATCACTATACTTAGTCCTAAGATATGAATAAATATATTACGATAGTTTTAAAAAAAATATTTTTTATTTATTAATATCTCTGAAACTATCAAAACATAATTACTCAGGATTATGTAAAGTGATCTATATGGAAGCCAAAAATACAATAATATACAGGGTGCTCCGTTTTAAATAAATCATCCCGATCCACTCACACTTTTTTGAGATATCCTGTCGAAGTTATAATATTTTCCTGAAATAGATCTTAGTATATACGTTAGGTTTGCACTTCCGCAAAATTCCCAAGTTTTTTTTTCCAAGACCTACAGATTCCCGACGCACTATTGCCGGACCCTGTATATCATATTTTAAATCTACTTCACCGTGTTCTATAAAGAAAACCAAGATTCTATAGAAAAAGTTTCGAAAAATTACGTCAGATGAGGGCGTGTCTCAAGAATGTTGGCTCTGGTCTAAGGAGAATCAGTGCCAAATCGTCCCATCTATGGCCGGCCCTGTAACGCCAAGGAAAATCGGAAAGCCATTTTACAAATCCCGTTGCCCGTCGACTTAGATTTATTTACTTGAAACGACAAAATTGGGAAGAGAGGGGGATATATTCGGCCACACGCTGGTTTTCCTTGAAGATTTTTTAACAAAAAAAGAGCGATGAAAGAAAAGTCATGTAGAGATTTAAAATTTTTCGGTATTAGACGTTGTTGATACTAAGCCACAAAGGAATAAACAGAAAATAATAAATTATTGATAATAATATAAAATACAAGGTCTATTCTATTTAATTTTATGATATTAAGAATTCATACGTTTTCTTTTTTGAATGTAGAAATAGTACCATAATAATACCCATAAAGGTTTTTTTTGGAGAGATGAATCCGCCACATACGTATAGACATTTTTTGCAAAGTTGGATACTACGTCTGGTTTACATCTTGATCAGGGTGGGACTAAGGATTTGATATTAAAGAAAAATGTTGGTCGATTTCGGTATAATTGGGGACGGGTTATATAGGTTGATGGACTATATTATGACCCTCGACGTGTCGAACCGATGCCTCTAAATGGACGAAATCATCAAAATTTTTCTCTTAATTATGAATCGATAGGAACCAAACTCGGCATGTAGATGGACTCCTCAGACAGACAGACGGAGAGACGGCCAGACGGGCTAACGGACAGACAGACAGACGGAAGTGACGGAACTAAGAATAAGTTTCACTTGAAATATGCGCCAGAGGACACATAATTTTTTTAATAACCTTTCTGTTCTTTAAATCCAATTTAAAGGTCTAGATGTTTTACAAATATAAAATTTCTCATATTTATATGTTTCTATATATTTTTAATTTTTACATACGACACTTTGTACCTATATCACATTTTTGATTTGTTTTTAAGTGTTCATTGGTGGGTCAAAATAGATCTAAATCTATCTAGATCTAAGTCTATTTTGAAGGATGTTCGTATGTTAATATTGTTTTTTTTCTGAAACGCCTCGTATGTATGGAATTGTAGTTTTCAGCAGAGAAATGAGTATACAGGGTGTCCAAGGCTGAGAGTGCATTATAAGTTTCTAGAGAACTACAATATCTAGATCAGAGTTTTTTTGCAAATCATTAATTCACAACGAGATCTATCGATTAAAATATTTTCAATATAGCGGGACCTCCAGAAATACCGAAAGTTAACAACAACTTCCTTATTTTAAATGGATACCCTTATTTTTTATTACATACTTAAATTATCTGTAAAATTTTATGTATTTTGATATTAAACACTCTATTCTCAACATTGTCCATTTTTGAGAAAAAAAATATTTAAAATTTTTGGACGAAAAAAACTGTTTGTCAAAAAAATGTGTATAGCCTAAACGTCAAATTACCACAACCACTGCGACATAAAGAGAAAACGTTATGTGTCATAGGCATCTATTTCAATGGAATTGTCTATGGAAATTTCTGTCATGGAATTGAGCGATTAAAAAATTGTCATAAATAATTTTTTTTTCAAATGGAAACCCACCTTTTTATTTCGCTAGTGAAAAGGTTTTTCAATTCGTTACTTTTTGCCTATACATGTTCCTATACATAAAATAAATCGTTTTTAAGTTACTTGGATTTAGCTTTGCAGGGTATATTTTTCTTGATTTTAACCAGTAGCCCATGACTTTAAACGTCAAGTGATGTAAAACAATACCAATTTTGTCGTTTGGCTATGTCATATTGTGACACTTTGTTCAAAAAGCAGTATGTCATCGATCATCATTTCCAAGCCAACTTTGCGCGGTTTTTTTTGATCATACGATATATTATTAATGAATCAACTATTAGATATCACTAAAGAACGAATATACGGGAGATTTATTCTTATAAAAACACTTTTTAAACTCTCAAGCAGGCAGTATTTATAATATAGGAAGTTAAAATAATTAGTTTTCTGACAGATGGAAATAAATTGTCTGATTGTTTGACACTTAATTTCAAAGGAAGTTAGATAAAATCAAGAAAAATATACGTTTTAAAACCTAGATAAACTCTATAATAACATCTAGATAACTTAAAAACCATTTATTTTAAGTATACAAACATGTATAGTCAAAAAGGAACGAATTGAAAAACCTTATCACTAGTGAAATAAAAAAGTGGGTTTCTATTTGAAAAAAATAATTTATGACAATTTTTTAATCGTTCAATTCGATGACAGCTAACGCCATTATTATATGACATTCGAAAAATTCAATTTTTGAAATAGATAGCCACATATTTTCTCTTAATGTCACAGTGACTCTGGTGATCACTATATTTAACTTTAAGCTGTACAAATTTTTGTGATATGTAGTTTTTTTCGTCCAAAAATTTTAAATATTTTTTTTTCTCAAAAACTGTTAATGTTAGGTATAAAGTGTTTAACATCAATATTCATAGAGAAAAGAGAATTTAATTATGTAATAAAAAATGGGGGCACCCATTTAAAATAAAAAAATTGTTGTCAACTTCCGGTATTTCCTGAAGTGCCGCCATATTGAAAATATTTTTAATCGATAGATCTCGTTGTAAAACAATGATTTGCAAAAAATCTCCGATCTAGATATTGTAGTTCTCTAGAAACTTCTAATGCACGCTCAGCCTGGGACACCCTGTATATGAAATTGTAGGTTGCATATAATTATCGATGTACTTAAACAGCCGTTAAACGGTAGCCTACTAAAATGCCGTTAATAGATATTGTGACGTCGTTCATGTCGGCGGAAAGTAATGCCTAGCTATAAGCATTTTGCAAGAGCACCTGTGGCTCTGTGGCTGAGGCTATCGCTTCGTGAGCGAATGGTCCGTGGTTCAAATCTCATGCCGACCAAGACTTTTTTATATTTTTTTTGCTTATAGCGTTTATTGCATTGGTTTCACTCTTTTTGGTTGAATTGGTTTAGTTATTTGGTGGGTTGGTTAGCGTGGTTATTTGGAGGATGTTAATTCATTGGTTAGCTGGTTATTTGCTGGGGTTGATTGGTTTTTACTAATTTATATTTGTTTTTTATATTTTTTTATCAGTGTCGACGTTAGTTGTGTTGGTTAAGTTGGTTATTTGGTGGGGTGGATAGCGTTGGTTAGTCCTTATAAAATTTCTATATTTCATAAAGCCGTCAAGTGCGTCACATCAACGACGTCATACCTATTAACGGCATTTTAGTAAGCTACCGTTTAACGGCAGTTTAAGTACAGCCTATAATTATTGTGTATTGTCTTCATTTCGTGTATCCTGGCCTAAAGTTTGTGCCTGTATTTTGTATTTCGTTTAATGTTTTGTTAATAAAAGATGGTGGATGATCCTTTTTTATTAATATTTTTTAAGCGGTTTATTTCTATATTTAAGTTTTTTTACCCGATGTTTCGTCGAGAAATGAACATGTCAAAATACCTTCAAAAACGTTTCATTTGACTATAAAAGAAAGGTTATAAATAAAAAGTATTAATTGATTTTCGTGTTGTGCGTGTCATTTTCCTTATTTTCGTATTCGGTGGAATATTTTTTGTCTTTTCAATTTCCTATCAAGGTTTTGCTTCGGTGAATAAGAGTACTGGGGGCGTCTTAACGACTTTTTATCATGGAAATTCTTTGGCTTTTCAATGTCTCTGCTTTGTCTGCCAGAAGTTTTTTACTCGAAGAAAGAAAACACCGAAATGGAAAATATACGTATAAAATTCAACAAAATAAAAAAATCTACATTTAATAGTCATATAGCATAACTGATAGCTATTTATTTAAGAGATATATATGGCTCTACTCGTAATATCAACTATTTAAATAATAAGTTTACAAGACAATTTTTCGTAAATTCGGTAAAAAAATAAACTAATAAAATTCCATCATTTCTATTCCTTTCGCTGAAATATTATTTTTAATGCCTCTCTCACGTTTTATTTACAATTGAATTACTACTTTCCAGTATATTGAACTTTTCTACGTCGTTGAATATGCTGGAAAATATTCATTCGCATTTTTCTATAAAAACAATTTAGTTTTTTCATTTTCACAGCATTGTCTGGCCGAGGGATTTATTCTGTTACAAGAAAAATGAGAATCGGAAAATTTAAATTTCAACAGAATACTGATTGATAATAACGAGTGCGAAGGAAAATCTTGTAAATAACAGCAGCTTTATATTTATATTTCCTTGAAATATATAATACCTGAAACTATTTACAATAAGTCGATACGATAACTCAATATTAGACGAGGGGTGCCTCACTCGAGTAAAAAATGTACACGTACTGCCAAAATATCCTGCCACTACTAAGCGACTACCAATGACTATGAAGAAGACTGCCTATGACTGCCATGTAATTATTATAGGTAACTGCCATAAGACTACCAATGACTGCCAGCGACTGCCAAGAAAATGTACAGGTAATTCCAATAGTGAGACACCCCTCGATATTAGGTAAGATTAGGTAACATCATATACAAGGTGTTTCAAAAAACATGTGCCATCTCTCGTGGGGAGATTCCTCACGTAAAAATAAGATTTGTTTTCATATCAATGTAGGTCCGATTCTGCTTTGTGTCGTAGCTACAGGGTGTTAAAGTCTTAATATTTTTTAGATTTATTATAATTTTCTTCCAAGTACTTTTAGCATTTCGAATGAAATTTTGAGGGTAAAAGTTACTATAAATGCGACATATTTAAAGCTAAAAAAATGTCGACATATGCACCAGGGACGTGCATATGGGTTATCACTGGAATATTTTTCTAAAAAAACATGTACGCCACTGACTTTTTTTTCTTTTGTTAACAGTGTAAGCAGTTTAATTAAAAGCGAATTAAAAGTTGTCTCTTGATATTTTGTCGATTTCGGCCTCCTTGATGAGATAAAAGCAATTTTATTAATTTGCCTTGATCCAAGTCTAATACCAAACTTTAAAAAAATAATATAATTAACTTGCGAAAGCTTTAAATAAGTACTAATTGATTCCTCATCAAAAAATACGAAAAACAGTTTGTATAAACATGGGTATGGAAATGCATAGTTTTAGAGTTACAGGATGTTAAAACTTTTTAAAATGAGGTTTTTTGTAATAATTATCTTAAATACTATTATTTTTTAATTTGAAATTGCTGTAGGTTGGACTAATAGTAATACTTACTAATAGTAATATTATTTAATAATAAATTCAGTAAAATATATAATTTATTATTTTTATTATAATTTTATTAATTGTGATTAATAAAATTGCGTTTATCTCATCAAGGAGGCCGAATTCGACAAAATATCAATAGATAACTCTTAATTGGCATTAAACAGCCTACAAAATTTTGATATCAAAAGAAAAAAGTCAGTGGCACACATGTTTATTTTTTGAAAAATATTCCAGTGATAACCCATATGCACGTCCCTGATGAACTTATCAACACTTTTTTAGCAATAAAATATGTAGCACTTATAATAACATTTACATTCAAAATTTCATTCGAATTGCTAAAAGTACTTGGAAGAAAATTATAATAAATCGAAAGATTATTAAGACTTTAACACCCTGTAGCTACGAAACAAAGTAAAATCGGATCTATGTTGATATGAAAAATAAATCTTATTTTTACGTGAGGAGTCTCCCCACCAGAGATGGCACATGTTTTTTGAAACACCCTGTATATTCGATACCAATTAACCTTTTAGTTAGGTAATCTAGGGTGCAATTTTTAAATTCACTGTTGCCAACCAAGGACACCATTCGGCGCCGCGCTGGCTAACTGGAATTTAAATTTCCCACTGGGGATTCAGGTGGTAGCTCTGCTGTAAAAAATGTCAAGTTGCGAGAGTTATTTATTTATTTCCTGACATTGTCATTCATTTTGACACTTTAGTTTTGTATTGCGAGATTTTGGTTAAAATGTATTGTATTGCGATACTTTAAGCTCAAAAACTTTTTCTAGTAGACCTTGCAGTTGGACATTGTTCTTTTTAGAGCCTCTTTTAGTGCCAAGTGTACAAGATAGCTTAATAGCCGTTGCAAAAACTCTTCGCGACATAATTAGAATATTTTGAACGAGAAAGCAGTAGTAATGGCCCTTTATGTCGCTTAATTGATGTTAACGAGGTGAGTTTTGTTGATATAAATAATATATGTTTATACATTTATAATTAATTTACTTTTGTTTCTTAAAATATTTTGATTAAAAGAAAATATGTAAAAGTAGGCAATGCTTAATCACGTAACTAAAAGTTTATTTGGTATGATCTATAGAGTGCCTCGGTGATAAGTACAAAAATATTTTTTTAAAGATAACAAGAAATACTTACATGGCAATTGTCTTCATCCCATCTGAACCTACAATTATAGTATCCATTACATTTTAAGGTTGATGATATGCACGTCGCGTCCTCGCAATCGAATTCGTCGTCAGCACAGTTTTTCGTTTTAGATTTTTCTGAAAAAAAGTAAAAAGAAAGTTTGTACATGAGAACTTGACCCTCCCAAACCCTGTTTCAGTTCTCGTCTTTAGTTTAGCTGGAGGATTAGCTCTGTTTCATCTATGTGATATACTTTAAAGGCTAGTTTCTTTGTAAAAATAAAGAATAATAGTTTCTTATACAAACGAACTGAAAACAATATGATCTAGAGAGATCATTTGATCTCACTAGATCATTTTAGCCACTTTTTATTTTTTTTAGATAAAAAAACGATATTTGGTGTATTAGTATATGACATAAATTAAAATTGATTGATTGATATTCAATTTTTTCGGTCACTTTTTGTTTAAGCGGAAATGACTACAACTTTTGAATTTTAAATGGCACCCTCGGTATTTTTTTACTTTATTCGATAGAAAATGACATTCTGAGTAGAACGACATATCATATGTTGTCAACTCTTGACATTTTCGCTTTGAACAAAATTGTATTTTAAATTTCAATCTAGAGTGCCATGGCTGTGTTAAAAATACTAATTTTTAATCAAGGAGCCTTGGAAAAATAGTTTTGATCGTCTAATGTTTTCAGTGTCTTATTCTGGCCGGTTAAAAGACGCCCGAATCATACATACATACATACAGCCGTTACTCGCTGACGAGTATTCGACACACATAAAGAAAATGGTCACGCAAGGCGTTTTCTTTCATGAGCTTTTCTGTGACTGAAAAGCTCGATACGTGATGTTATCTGCCTACCGCACTCCGGACATTCAAAAATCTCATTGCTTTGTTGCCTCTCTACTTTTTGGTTGCCGCTGTTAACTGAGTTTACAACCCTTCTCCATTGAGTTCTATTGTGAGCTGCTTTTTCCCACTCATTCTGCATGTTAATTCCCTTTAAATTTTCGTGGAAAATGTCTTTGTATCTTTTCAGTTGTCCACCCGGCCTCCTCTTACCGTCCACAAGCTCACCGTAAAGCAGAGATTTTGGTATGCGGTTTTCTTGCATTCTGCATACGTGACCAGCCCATCTTAAGCGGGATTTTGTGACCATGACTTCAATACTCTCGCAGTTAGATTTTTCAAGGACCGATACGTTTGAGACATGATGGAACCACCGGACTCTTAAGAGTTGTCTAAGGTGTCTCTGTTGCAACTTGTTCAATGCGTTCATGTGTCGGCGGTAAGGCACCCAGGTTTCGCTCCCATATATCATGGTGGGGATTATAATTGCTCGGTATACTGCAAGTTTTGTTTTTGTACTCAAGTCATGATTGTAGAAAACCCTGTCTTTTAATTTCCAGAATGCTCTTGAGGCGCTACTAATCCTGTGCTGAATTTCAGAGTCAATATTGGCCTTTTCCGAAATCAAACTGCCAAGGTAATTGAATTCCGCCACATATTCGAATAGTTCTTCTCCGATTTTTATAGCATTGTTGTGATCTTCCGGGGGAGTGCACATGATTTTAGTTTTGCCGATGTTCAGCTTAAGGCCCAAAGCCTCGTATGCCCAGGTATATGTGTTCAACATTTCTTGTAATTGTTGTACCGTGTTTGCAACTAGAGCGCAGTCGTCAGCGTATTGAAGTTCTGTGATAAATTTTGTACGTGTTTTTGCCCTGAGTCTTTTTATGTTGAACAGACCGCCGTCATATCTGTATCTAATGCCCAATCCTCTCTCCTGCAGTTTGCTGTCCACTATAATGGAGAGCGCTGCCATGAATATGTTGAATAGGAGAGGCGCTAAGACACATCCCTGCCTAACTCCTGTATTTGTTATTTGTTGAATGGGTCGCTCAGTGATCCATGATGTGACACTCTTGACTTGTTGTTGTTATGGAGGCTTTTACACACTGTAAGAAATTTGTTGGGTACACCGAACTTTTCCATAATTGCCCAAAGCGCATCTCTGTTCACAGAGTCGAAGGCTTTGTTAGATCGATGAATGCAACATAAAGTTTAGACTGCTGCTCTTTACTTTTCCTGTAGTTGACGGATGGAAAATATGGAATCGACGGTGCCGCGGTTGGTACGAAAACCCGTTTGCGATTCTGGAAGAATTTTTTCTATATGTGGGTGCAGGCGGTTTGACATTATTTTTGCAAGAATTTTTCCGCCGATAGCCAATAGCGAAATTCCCCGGTAATTTCCGCAGTGTGATGCACTTCCTTTGTTCTTAAATATATTCACTATATTCGCATTGCGAAAATCCTGAGGTACCTCTCCGCTTTCCCATACGACATCAAAGAGAGCCTTAAGATGACCAATAAGTTCTTTACTTGCACACTTATAGATTTCCGCCGGAATATCGTCACAGCCAGCTGATTTGTTGTTTTTAAGCTGTTTTATGGAGGTCTTTATTTCTTGTTCTGTTATTGGGATGTCTAATACATCGAGGTTGTTATACTGAGGTATTGTGTTTAATGCTTCCATATTGGGGTTGTTTTCTTGGTTAAGGATATGGCTGTAATGTTCTTTCCAGCGATTTCTAATTTGTTCTTCCTCTTTAGAAGTTCGCCATTTTGAGCCATGATTGGGCAGCTTACCTTCTTAGTTGGGCCGTATACTTCTTTTACAGCCTCGAAGAATTTACGATAATCGTGATGCGTGGCGTACTCTTGAATCTGATTCGCTTTTTGTGACCACCAGTTATCCTTTACTTGGCGCAGTTCTCTTCGAAGCGTGTTGTTGGCTGCTTTAAAGTTGTCTACCAGTCTTGGATTATGTGGATTTGCAGTGACGGCTTGATATGCCGGTTGAAAGACGCCCGAATCGTATTTTTAATAATATCCGAATTTTTCTAAATGGAACAATGGTGGCTCATTAGCATTTTTTGCGAAATTTTACGTATTTGGAAAAATAATTTTTCTACGAATAATTTGATATCACACACTTGGTATTTAGAGTCAAATTGTCCTTAATGCGATTCATAACGATAACGATCAAATAAACCATACCTATTCGAAAATGTCAAAAATTGACATATGCTATTTTATTCTATTCAGAGTGTCATTTTCTATCGATTAAAGTAGAAAAATAGCGAGGATGCCATTTAAAAATCAAAAGTTGTAGTCATTTCCCGTGAAACAGGAAATGGCCGAAAAGAATTATTGAATACCATTAATGAATCCTAATTTATGTCATATACTAACATACCAAATCTTGTTTTTTTATCTGAAAAAATACAAAAAGTTATACGGGTGAGCCACTTTTGAGATACACCCGGTATACAGAACTGGATATATCAACGTCACAAGATTATCATTAGGAAGGGTGTCTGCATTATTACGACATGTAATTTTCATACCTTCTTTTTTGCAATTATAAAACGTTTAATTAGATCCGTCCTTTCTCATAACTTTACTTTGCACATGCGCATTAAAAATCGAACGTCTTTCCAATCAAAAGTGTTCAAATTTTGTATTAATTTTGTACACAATATTGCACAAATTTTAAAACATTTTACCAATTTTATATTTTTGTCATTTGAATTGGAATATTTAATAACTGGTTATATGTATAGATATGTATAGACAAGATTGAGTCTCATCTCAATAGAATCCAGTGGCGTAACTAGTTATTCGATGGGAGCTGTCACTTTTAATATATGACTCAAACTTTTTTTTTTAAATAGGACATTCTGTATATTATATATTTATTTTATTAGTCTTGTTATAAACTTTCTAAAAAGATAATAACTTATTTTTATAAATAAGGTAAATGCACTATTTAACTTTTTAATATAAATCAACCTAGTTTAAAGAGATTATTTTATTTAGTTTAATTTAACCAAATAATTTTATACAAATAAAGTGGGCGCTGTTTGACGTCATAACAGATATTGCGCTTCTGCATAAAAAATTTAAATAGTAGGCTATATTTATTTTTGCACAGTTAAATAGAGCATGAAATTTCCAAAATATTAGCATAAATCGCAACTTTCTATCTTCTGTCAAACCGGAGATTTTAAGAGAACAAATCATGTTAGGTTGCCGCTTAGGATTATATGGTCTAAAAATTATAGTAGCACCTAGACTAGGAAACAAAAAGAGGTAAATTGGTTACGTCAAAATACCAAAACATAGATTTTAATTTCATTTTAATTGTTATTTATCTGTGTTCGTTCTTGATTCTACCCCATAAATTAAAACCCAGGCATATTGAATTCGCTAACCTAGCTTGTAGCGTTTTTTTATAAACATTACCACTGCGAACGGCAGCTTTTCATCGGAGAGCAGTCGTGGATAAGGTATTTCACTGGAAAGAAAACTAATTAATAACAATAAACAAAAAAATATAAATATTGGGCGCCAGGCATGTACAGAGAAAGAAAACACAGTTGTATATTACTTAAAACTAATTACTATATTTATTCATGATGAATTCTGATGGGAAATAGCATTGTACAATTTTAATAATTATTATAGTGGTTAAATACTATTACAAGGCGTAATGTAATGAAACCTAAGATCTAAATCATATTGTAACTACTAAATCGACATAAATGTTCTTAATAATCTAACCACTAAATATAGTCTGTACGATATCGTTTAAAATGTACGTTAAATTAAGACTGAAAATCGACTGAAGATCAGAACCTAAATCTACACTTAACTGTTCTTGAGGCAATCCTGTTTTGAAGAGTAGCAGCGTGAGGTGGGCTCATATCTCTGCACTGTCTCTCGGCTATCCTGTTGGCCAATACAACAAAAGGGGCCAGGATGAGGACACCATGAATCAATACAGCCGTAGCTACTGACTAGGCTTAGAAATGGGAGCGAAGCAGCATGGGGCTTACGCTGTATCCATACTGTGGCAATATGGGGACACTACCCGTACCTTGGAACACTACTAGGACCTTGGATAATGTCCGTAACTTGGACCATAACCTTGGACACAGTCCGTCCATAAGACAACGGTACAGGGGAACACTACCCGTACCTTGGATACTACTAGGACCTTGGATAATGCCCTACCTTGTAAATAGTCCGTACCTTGGACCCTAAAAATATGAAACT